GGTAAATCGTTGTGTAAGTAATCCATTTAGGCAAGGTTTACTGAGAGACGCGAGTGACCATAGGGCTCAGGACGCATAAACATAAGCTAGAGCATATAATGCTAAAATCCTACGAAGAAGAAATGTGATTAAGCCTAGCAAAAAGTAGCTGGATGCTTTAAAGGAAAGAGACTAACAAATTTCGCAGACATACAGGGTCAATGGCGGTTGGGTGAGGAGTCAAGAGAAGTGCAAAGGAAAATGTAGGTAATGTGGTTGCGCAAAATGTAGGCATCACGATATTAAACAGATATAGTAGACAAACAATCTAAAAAGGTGGAATATGGATGGGGTATAGCGGAGCGTAAGAAATAGCATGAAAGAATGACTAGAAGAAACGCCCCAGGGTAGGTATTGCTGGTAGCACGTAATATCCGTATGCAAAAGGGATGATCAGAAGATCGGACCGAGACGGGATATTAGTGTGAACTAAAAAATATAGTGATGTTAAATCCACTGAGAATAAGTTACTCTAATTTCCTGAATGCAGTGACGACTAAAATCAAAGGGAAATCGGGCGGAAAATATTATTTTAAAGGACCAAATCCTAAAAGATATGCCTATCCTGGAATCTGTTGCAATAAAAAGAAGGCGAAATAAATTAAGGATGGCCGTTCTATAGGTAAGAAATAATCTATTTTAATGATCTAGAAAAATTAGAAATTGAAAATAATCTAAATTATCGGAAGGAAAATTGATGCAAAATGACGGAATATTCCTTCAGAAGAAGCTAATACATTGACTTATTAAAACAAAGCCAGTAAAGTAAGGGACGGACTAACGCAACAAATAATTTTAAAAAATCAGAAAATGCAGGGACTATAAAAATTACAGATAATAACATGCAATAAAAATGGCCCCATCCCTTTTTGTTTTAATGCACTGATGGATCCGGGGCTATGTCTCCAGCCAAAAATCGAAAACGCCAATAAGTTTTGAACCATCCAGGCAATTCTAATACTTTAAGCACCATTGAATAGAGCTTTCAAATCTCAACAATATGAGTACAAACACAATGCTACGGGCTAGGGAAATGAGCCAGAAACCAATACAAATACCAAAAGCTACTATTTTTAGTAATGAAACTAGATAAGTGCTAACATCTCCACAAAGAAAGCTCAAATTGCGGTCATTATAGGCTCAATCGATGCAGAATGCAATTCCACAGATAGGAAAAATACCGACCGTGACATGTCTAGCATATTTACCATTTACCCTGGAGCGGAATATGAGAAACTAAGAGATGTACTATTAATATAAGAATAAAAGCGCACCTACGACTCACACAGAGAAAACAAGCACACCATTAAATAGAGCTAACAAAACTGAATAAGAACAAGAGGAAAGTGAGAAAGAACGCCCTGAGCTCTAGGTATTACGCGCTCTAGTTAAACCGACCGTTCATTTCAATGGAGTCTGGTTTTCCACGCCTTCCGACGAATCCATAAAACAATATTGCCATGTTTCTGCAGTATCCGACGCGGGGCACAAAGACGAATAAAACGGTATATAGATATCCTTGGTCGACGGTCGATGCACAGAAAAAATTCAAATCAGACGGAGCTCTGAAAAGTGCTGCCGAACGGTGTATCAACGGTGCATCAACGGTGAATCAATGGTCAACCCAAAACTTACTGCACTTCAACGTCAGTAAATGCAAGGTGCTTTTCATCCGACATCAGTGCAGCTACCCATAGCGGCTCGGAACGAATATACTAGAACGATCAACTCTTGAACGCCACTTGGGTGTCCTGGTTCAAGATGACTTGGGTTGCTCCATATAATCCGGAAAGTCTTCGAAGACTGGGAACCAACACGTCGGGCTGTTGCGACGGGAGTTTGGACAGCTCCATATTTCGACAAACGTTCAGTGCATATGTTCGGTCCCAAGTCGAATACGCAATTCAATCCTGGCGTCCATGGCTGAAACATGATCCTAATGCACTGGAGCAGCCACAACGTCGGGCATCTAAGAACGTAATTGCAATGCGCAATCTTCTATACTAGGAGAGGCTGCAACGACTGGTGATATTCAGTGGAAGCTAGCGCACTCTACGAGGCGAGCTGATTATGGTATACTTGATTCTGCGAGACCCACATTATGTGTGCCACCCTTGACTGCAACTCAACAGTGATGCAAAACTGAGGGGCCACTCACTGGAACTCGATGTACAGTATAGCCGTCTGGAGTGCCGCAGAAATTTTTTCCATTCGTGTCTGTCACCCGTGGCATACTCTCCCAGAATTGGTCGTCGCTGCACCGTCACTAGCAGTATTTAAAGACGGTTGGATGCTGCACTCACCCACTTATACTTCGTCAGTTAACACTACGTCTCCATCCTACACCTGGAGTTTACCATGGAATTATTTGATGTTAACTGCGGGTGCTATGAATCCAAGCGGATTTCAGGACTACGACGGGGCAACTCATGTCCTTATTTTTATATTTAAAGTACTGTGTTTTACTATCATTATGCTTATTATTGTTATGTCGATATGCCTACCAACTATCCTACGGCACTTGTAAAGCAACGCTCCTTAACCGTATAAATTCATTCTTATTTTCTCACTGTTTAAAAATAAGTAGAAACTTAATACCTGGGTAGAAAAATGGACAAACATTTGTTTGTTTTCTTTCTACTTTTACTCTTATCCTTTTTTCCTATTCCGCGATGGCTTCGATGGCGCAATATCAGTACACAGCTATCTGTATACAGAAATAAATACACATATTATATATATATATATATATATATATATATATATCTTTGTAGATGTATCGGTAGAATTTTATGTCCCTAAAATGGAGCTTCAATTTTTTGGTTACTATAATTATCCAAGTATAAAAGAATTTCTGGAAAAGACTTGAAACTGTTTTTTATCGTCGAAGTACATTAACAAGACAAAGTTCATGGATGTGCAGTCAGCTCGGATTACGGTCCCACAACATCCAATGTTCCCCTAGTACTCTCTCCGGCTTGTTGATCAAGCCTCTCATCCCTTTATCCTTTTATTATTATCTTCGTAAAAACAGTGTTATTTATACGTCATGGAGTGGAGATTCCGTTGTGCGTGTGTTGCTAATGAAGCTTTCGTGAAACGCAATTACCTCTGTGTGCGATCTGGCAGGTATTCCATAATAAGCAAAAGTAGAACGGACAACCAGATTTTGATTGTACCAACCAGTTAAAATTCTGTTAAATAACTAACTAAATAAATGGTATATCTCTCGACATGCGAGACAGGAAAAGGACCAGTGGAGGGATTTTTTAAAATTTGCTATGTTCTCAATAAATATTTGAGATGCTCAATCATTTAAAAGTAGTAAAATAAGGTTGAAAATGGGAATAAAAGTAGATATAGCCGTCTGTTCGAGTAATACGACCCTTCATGGAACCGTCTCCCGGAGACCTGCTTCCACACTTCACTTTCACATATCATCTGCCTATGTCTTGTTTTGACTTAAAGCATGTAGCCGATGACTTTTTGACCCTTTTTGGACCTTGTAATATGCAATGTTGTCATCATCATGGGGACATATTATACTTAAATATGTATAAAGTTATGTGAGGTCTGTGTAATATGTTAAGCTCTCCCCATCATACAGCCGTCATTTAGCCACTTCGGGTCTAGCACTTTTAATTATCGCCAGTGAGTACGTGACAACTCACAGAACAGATTTACACGGGCTTTGTGTGATTGGTAGTGTCACCCGTATATCAGGTGGGTGTAGCATGAATTAGTATGCAAATGAATGAGTATGCAAATCTATGTCACTAGAGAATAAACCGTGCACATTAATACACCATAACAGCCGCATTATGCTCCAAACACTTAGCTTCGATCAAGCCCCAGCAACTAGTCTACAGCACGTCAAATGCAATCAGTTCTCCGTTTCGATCATGGCTCCAATAGGCAGCCTCCTTATGCCGGTTAATACTCAGCTTCTGTTACCATACAATCCATTTACGTTTCCCTGTGCTCCAGACGTTGTTACACACAACCGATGCCGGCTGGATCGATCATCTGCTGGCAGTCAAATTTCATGTTAGTTGGACGATTCCACTTTAGCATTGACTGACATAGTGATGATATCTGATTGGCTATGTTTCTGCTCACCTACAAATTATCGAGTTAAGTACCAGCATAACAGCAGGATTAAAGAATCCAATTATCGCCACGTACCCATGAGCTCCGCAACATGTTAATTGATAACCTCACACTGCGTCATGAATTCTGTTTTGTCATAGACCACTGGACGTGTACACCGGGTGCGCTTTACTCGCTTTGTTACATATTCATGGTCATGGTTTCACTGTTTGGTAGATGGTCGAATTGAACTTGGCATCGCGGCCATTAAAATGTATGATTTTGGTGCCTGAAGTGAATGGTTTGGACTGATTGAGATTTACTACGTCGCAATTGCTTCTTTAACCGTTTTGTTTTGATTTTTGTGTTCGGATGACCGAATACTCACCTACACTCCCTTTGTATAAAGGGGACTTAACAAAGTGACCGCACACCGTATTTACTGAATCCTCAGTGGTTTTTGTTAATATGTATCAGCAGACTATAGATTTGCAAGGTAGCAGTTTCTTGTCTGTATATTGACAAACAAAGTAGAAATGAGGAAAAGTTTATGCTGCATCAGTTTGCTCATACGAAACAGTATTCAGCAATTTGAGCTAATTTTGCTTTCTACAGGACATCGCTAACAGCTCTAAGAATATGGAATCTACTCCTTATCTTCCAAGAACTCGATGACACTGCAGATACTCATTGCATATGATAGCTAAAGGGAGACGAATTCTTGATAAAAATGTATATTTTCAAATGTATGTGGGAGTCTTTGTTTCACGTCAACTGCTAGCTACCTTCGACGTGCTAAGTCTCATCTTACAGCTTTCGGCAATTTGCAACCTTAGGTCTTGTTGCTTTGTCGGACGCACCAAATAGCTTACCTGGAACTGCTGGAGGTACGGTTCGCTGCAGCGCTTGGATAGTCGCCACGGCATTTTGTTCTACACTGTACTTCTGGCTGTGTAATTGCCCGGCAGTCACCATATTAGGCTTCAGTAAGGTTCCCTCAAGGTAGACGTGATGATCGTGCAGAGCTTTGTATGTGAAAGACAGTACATCTTCAGTAACTCGCATAGCAGTGTACAAATCGTGATTGCCGTCAGGGAGAATTTCTGGTTCCACGATTGGTACAAGACCATTCTGCATTGTGGAATCAGGGCACAGGAGAGTAGTTAAGCAGGAAACCCGATTTGGAATGATATGGATTATCCAAAAAGTTAGTACGTTATTATATATATATATATATATATATATATATATATATATATTCCTGCATTTAGTTCATTCATAGACAAAAGCCTACGACCCGATGTCTGCCCAGTCTAAATAAATACATTAATACAACACACATTATAAATAGGATGGTTACAGGACTATTGGCCTTGATGCTAAGTCAAGATGATTGGGGTGGGAGCAATTTAACACGTGTTTATGAACAAAATTCTCATCCGATAAACCATTCAAGGCAAAATAGCTTTTTGTCCCATTTGAATAAGCCGATGAGATGAAAAAAGTTCACGTTTGCGATTTGATACGCGAGTGTGCCATCATAGCGCCCTTGTTCATGCAAGGCTTAGTCCAGTCTTCCGACTGAGTGCATAGCAAACCGGTACTAGTGAAAGTTGGGTTACGGTTGCTTCCAAAAGGGCCGCCATTTAAACTTAGCATCACTCCTCACTGGGTAGGAAATTTAGGAGCGAAGTGGAGTTTTACTGGTGTAAAATCTACCGGCTTCCTGTGATCCATCGTTTAGTATTTCAATAACTACCTGGGAAATGTCGGAAGATGCAAAGAAACAACAACTGCTAATGAGTGTACTGTGTTCCAATATCTCAGAATCGAACTCGAGATCAATTAGAGGCAGGCAGCTGGACGATCTCAACTAGTGGGATGCCACTATTAACCTACCTGGAGCTGCATTGTGACCTGTACATGTAGTGTGGATCACACAACACCCCGAAGCATTAGGTGGAGCCAAGACTTCTGCGCAGTATACTGAATTCCATCATTGAAGTAGCATCAGTTCTGGTGTGAACTTGTGGACCCAGAAATAAACACTGCTCAATCCGTGTCTTTACTGACATCACTTGCGGCAAGCGTTAATGAATTAACCGGCCTAGACCAATAGAAGAGAGCTGTGGCCGGAACAATTCTTGGCTATGGCGTTCTTGAAACTGAAGCATGCGATGAGCATGAAATAACAACTCATGATAAGGATCAATGGTGTTATATTTGTGAACTACTCTCCTTGGATTACATGCTAATGAAATCGGTATCACGGCTGCGCACTTAACCAAACACAAAGGATGTCGCCCAAGGGTGTAGAAGGCAGTCCTACTGCTAAACTATATGGTAGCACGACTACTGAAAAGCTGGTGCATGTTTCGCAGCACGCTGTCAGCTGAGCTTCTGCTGAATGAAGGGCGCGACATACACTCCAAAGATGGTATGTCACCCAACGAACCAAAAACGTCGGGAACTATAATCGGACAGTGCGCCAGCAGTGTAACTGATGAACCCATATAACGTGTTGATGAAGTGACTGACCAGATTACTTACGCCGTATGTATAAGGTTAGAGTAGGGACCAAGTACGCAACGATGAATTTGACATCAAACCAATTGCGAAATACCTACCGAAAATATGATTAGTCGCCGGCCACTTACTGGTCTGCGAAACTCGACGTATGAATCTCACAAGCTTCAACACATTGCCGAAATATTAGAAACTCATATGTATGTACCTTAACGCCGAAGGGCTCTCCAGTAAAGTTACCGAACTTCGGCTACGTCAGGATGCGAATACATGGAACCAAATGTTCTTAATCAAAACCTTGCCACACCAGGAAGCTGTTGAGGTTTGGGTTTAGCAGGAATATCAGACATCCGGAACAACCGCCCTAGAAGAGGAGGTCGGGCCCTTCTGTACTACCGCATCGAACTGTAATGTGCAATAGTTGATAATCCGGAAACTCATGTTACAGATTTCCTTCGGTGCCATCTGCGAATAAGACACAAAGACGCACGTCTTGTAGCTATCGTTTACCGCCCGCCCAACAAGCACTCCAGTAATGTGTTCTAGATTGATACGCTCATTAAACCGGGTAGAACGTCTCAGGTACCACCATCGCTGGTAACTTCAATGTACTTCTTCTGGTGGCATCAGCATCTCCCATTGAACTGTTCAAAGCTAATATGTTATTGTAAAATCATGTCGCCTAGCCCAAGTGATTCAGGCAAGTAAACAACCCAATCACATTGGACCTTATGCTCACAGGTGAAGAGCTCATGATCGACAAGTTATTGATGGGCATTCCATTAGGTCTCGGTGACCACGTAGTAATAACATTTAACTATGTTTGCCATACACAGCATCCGACTGAACATTCGGAATTTAGGCATACAGTCACTACGTACCACGTCTTGAAAGAATTCGTGAAAGAATCTGCTTTGGACTTCTCGAACCGCAGTCCCCTCAGCAACGTTTGGACAGAGTTCGGTGAAAGCCTAAATGACATGATCAACAGAGCATCGGAAACCAAGCTACATCGTTCCGCAAAAGTACCGGCAATTCTCAGAAACAGGACTCTGATGTGCATGGCAAAAGAAACGCAACATGACAGGCTGACAAGACGGGTCCAAACTCCCAGACTTGGAGCAACTTCCTGACGCACGGCAACCACTGTAACCCACTTGTTCGTGAAGAAAAGTAAACTATTATCAGTGTCTAGCCAAACAGTTTGTGGCAAACAACAAGCCAATGTATAGGTAAGTCAATAGGCTTCATGTAGTAAAGCAAGGCATCCCCAAGTTTCCCAACAGACTAGGTTACAAAGCGCTGACGAAGTAGTCAATGCACTGCGGTTACGATAAGCCTCGATTTTCAAACTCGTATATCCTCAGTAACTTTACCGACACCACAGCTGACACAGGTAATCTACAAACCAGCAACTTTGCTCAGGAAGTTACTCTCAGTGCGCTATCATAGCTCCCCAACAGCCGGCAACATTCTACCGAAAACACTGACGGAGGCGGCCACTAAGCTTACTGAGCTCCGGTCACAATTCCTTCCAAGATGCTTCGATGCTGTTGTTAATTGACGTCGTCGGTTGGTCGCTCTGTGATTACGCCCTGGATTCGGTTGCGGGATAACTAATCAACCTGGCAAAGTTGTACGCCGTCGCCCGCGTCACTAGGTCAAGCGGTGCAGGAAGAATCTCTTGCACTCGAAGGAGTAGATTTAGGGTAAGTGCGTCGAGTATGGAATCGAAGGGATACTTTTTGTATCTCACACTACAATCGAAGCGGCGTCATGGTCTGTACTCGCTTTTGCTTAGTCGTAAATTCACTGTTCCGGTAGTCCAAAAAATTGGTCTAGTTGCACCTTTCGTGCCACACCTATGCGCATCCGAGTGAAACTTGACGCGTTTCCCCCTAAACTCAAACCGTCCATTTGACACCGTTTGTTAAATCACAAGGGTCCAAAAGAAAGCACGTGCGCTCAGCGTCACACTTGTCACTGTTCCCTTTGGTGTGGCCGCGTGTGAATTACAGACTCGAACACAAACTGCACCGCCTGACGGTCAGTCTAAGGATGAGCCGCAGCCGACCACCTGCTACGACGTACACGTAAAGCTTGCTCGGTTACGAGAGCGGACGGGTAGGCAGAGCACCAACTGAAGCGGTCGGTACTTTTGGTTCGACAGCCATTTCCTTGTCGTGCTATCAGTCAACAGCCTGGCGATGGGTTCGATGGTAGCACACTGAGCCATTCTGGGAGCTCGTATTGCATAGCACATGAGCTGTGGCGGAATTAGCAAAGCGTGCATGCAATGTTGACCTAGATTGCACGCTGTAGAATAGACGGCGCGCATTCAGCCTATTGCATGCTTATCGTAGTTTGGAGATTCCCCGCTTTGCCTGTGTAAAATTCTGAACAAAATCACTATTTCACGGTGCATCTAGGCGAACGGTGCGGATTGTTGAATTGATTGCTAAGTTTGATTGCTTGCGTTGAACAGCGCCAGTTTGCCTAGCGCTCGTTTCGGTTGCAGCGCGGGACTGCCTTGTGTGCTGTGCTTTCTACATGCTTCTAGCTGAAACATCAACAGTGTCATCTTTTGATAGTTAGGCAACAGGGAACCTTTTGCTGTACCAATAATAGGTTCCCTGCAACGCACTTTGTCTTTTGTAATCGCTCTCCGGGATCCCGGTAAAAGCTACTGGCTAAACGCCATGGTTGGCAAGAAAGCGTACTGCTAAGCTGATTTAGGTATGCCTGCTGAGGACACTGCTTCCATTAGAGTAGACAGGCCATTGTATCTGAGCAATGAATGTGCGATAGGGGCTTACTTCTATAACGGTTGAGGACTATTTTCATTCATGACCAACGCTGTTGTAGCCTCAACACGCGTTTCCATCTGACCATTAGCTATCATCAGGTAGATTTCGTTGCAAAGGTTAATCATACTGCCTGAAACTACTTTTTCCTTGCAAACCTTCGATGCCCCATGTTAACCTCCACCTCGTAGCAATTTCTCACGTTACCGTCTGATTCTCTAGACAACGCCCTTAGATTTCAGTCTGCCTTGCCACATTATAGTCACCAGTTACCAGCGCACCAGTTTAGTCGGTAAATCATTGAATGATACGTATCTCTACAGAAAAGCAGTTTAATGGTCATAAATGTCAACGAAGTAGGATTTCAAACTGTCTGCCGTCGTTCTGCATGCAACGCAGCATCGCTTGATGCTGTTGGCTAGCCCATTTTCCAAAGTCACCACAACATTCATTCAAAGTGCTCTGTTTCAGTTCCTCAAGAGAATTGGGCTTAGTTTTATAAATTCATTTCAGGTAACCCCATGGGAAGAAATCCAAAGGGTTCAAAGCTGATGGCCGAACAGACCACTCTATTGGTCGCCGCAGACCGATCATACGACAGAGGAACGTCTCGTTGTGATATTCACGTGCCGTTTGTGCATAGTATGCAGGTGCACCAGCTTGTTGTGATTAAACGGTACCCAATGACCATATGGCTTCCAGTTGCGGAATGACACTTTTTTGCTGTAATTCCTTGTAAGAAAATGCTAGAAAACGTAAGGCATTAGCACTGCGAAACAACAAGCTACCGGTCAAGTTATT